TAAAAATTAGTTTCTACAGGCATTAGCTTCTAAGTTTGCATCATCAGAAGCCAATGGGAATCGAAATGATTAGCATCTTGCAGAACTAATCCCATTATAGCTCAGTTCTGTAAGATTTGCATTTCCTGAAGCACCCACAGAAAAGAATGATACTCAACACCTATTTAACATTTACAGCACCATTCCTTAGATGATGCCACAAGGGATGAGCGGCTCAGACGCCAGCAGCAGCGTGCTGGTCGGCGCAGTTTGATTCCTACTCCGATACTGTATTTAGGGCAGTTTTTCTCACAAGGTACATGTGCATATCCCAACTCTCGGTTCCACTTAGCAGAGCTACTTCCAGACCAATTAGAACTATACTTCATTGAAGCTTCGCTGTTCATATGAAAGTAAGAAAACCAACAAAGTTTTGGGAATTCCTAGCTACTGAGGGTGCAAAACTCTTGAATCCTTTCTGCACAGTTCCTGTTGAATAGTCCTTGAAGGGCAGATACATAAAGTTGTAACACTTCGTAAGACTTGCTAGATATTTCAAGTTTAGATATTTTACATTAAAGGCTGACGCCGGCAAGCTCTTTAAAACACCGGACTTCTTCCTTCTGTTAGTATCAGATCACAACCATGAGACAATTAAAAAAGAATCCTTGTCTGTCCACGCCTTGCTTGGCTCTACTCTGACCCTCGTCTGGTTATCTTTTTGTCCCAGCTGCACAGCGGTGTCTGACTTACACGATGCATTACATGTGCCTCAGTGGTGTTCCTCTCATGTAACATGTCACCTGCCCAGTTAGCTCGATTTTGCAGCTGCATATTGGTTTTCATCTTTGTCCCTGTGAATTAGTTGCAGAGAGCACTAAGCAGAAACAAGTGATCAAACTCCAGTTCTTTGGCTAGGTTGATATGCTTAAGGCTGTGCAAAAAAATAGAAATGGCAGCGCTGAAACTGCTGAAAGGCAGTTCCAAAGCTACACGCGATTTCTAACGAACACTCAACAAGCACCAAATTCACAAAATTAAGTAGTCAGCATTCAGCACTCCCTAAAGACAGCATCTGGACACAAGCAGTAAAAAGGGTTCTCCTTACTGATTCAGTCCTCTAGACATTGCCCCTTCCTTTTCTGCAGCTTTGCACATTGGTTTTGCACCAATTTAATGCCATCTCGCCATCTCTGGATGCTTACACCCTCCCTCACACGCCCCCTACAAAGCCACGCTCCACGTTTTGACTGGAACAGGACCGCAGAACTTAGCCTGAAGCACTTTACACATCATGTAGCCAGACGCGTGCTGTACGCTTCATCCCCAAGCGCCATGAGCTTCAGGCACAAAGGAACATGTTTCTACAGAAAGCTTAAAATAAAAAGGTTAAGAAGAAACATTGAGTTAAAAGTTTTATTCATTCAACATCTCACATTACAAATATTTAAAAATTATATGCATACTGGTATAAATAGTCATTTGCAAACTATTTAATAACATTAATTTTCACTAGCACTTCAACAAATGAACTCTTTAAAAAAAGTAACTTGTGTTATATAACTTAGAGTAGAACATACAAAAATATGAACTTAAACGTGAAAATGACTTTAATAAAAAATGAATTACCCTTATTTAAAATGCTATAATAAATACTACAACCTCCCCATACACAGTAAAAACTATATGGAAATTCAGCCAAGTAGTACAATTAACTGACATACTTAAATAACTTTTCCTTCTGATAATATGAGCAATACATTGGGGGAAAAACATATTAGGGATTAGTAAAAACTAGACACCCACTTGCTAAAAGTTTCACTTCCAAAAAATATAACAAAAAAATCTGATGAAAATTATAAAAACTAATTATACTTTAAAATTTAAAAATATAAAAAATAAAACAGTTGAATACAATATTGTCCCAATTCTTACAATGCTATCACAGTAGCTTTAAAATAAGATAATAAAATAAAGCAAATGACCAAAACCTTTTATTCCATTTTTTTAAAAATAATCTCAAATTTACATTAGTAGAAAGATTGATTTCTGATTCTTTTCTTTAGAAACACCAGCAAGAAAGAGGATTTACTAGAACAGTAGAAAATGACATTTTTAAATGTCTGCAATTAAAAACAAAGAATTACACTGCAAAGATCTTCCAGAAGTCTGAAATAGGTATTGCACATAACTTGAAGTTAACTTGCCACAATTCATCACATTCAAGTTTTAAATCACCTTTTAACAGAAGGTTTTAACTCTTCAAAAACAAAAGGGGTGAATTATCAAGTCTTTCCAACAGCATCCTTATAAAACGCTAAATTCATTCACTGCAAGTTTTAAATTTGCATTCTGCAGAGGTCTGTGTATGGAGAAGTATATACTATACCAAAAAGCACGGGGCAGTGGGGTTCCTTTACATATAAAATAATCAGAAACACTTTATTTTACATTGCAAAAATAACCATGTAATTACTCTGTAACTACATTGTAAATACATGGCCAGTGCCATGCTAGTGTGAGAAAACTACATGCTTATTAACCCCTTTGCAAATTGAAGTGATACCCTAAGACTGGTAACCTAATTCCATGTTAATCATGTTCGGAGCTACATGGTAACCCCAACTACAAATCCCATGTAATCAGGCGGACATGTCATCACTATTTAAGTACAGAGTAATGTATATAATTGTTTATGCCCTGTAAATCGAAGTGTAACCAAATAATCTGTAAACACGCTTGTCACACAATCACAAGTGAATATTAGTAGAATAACAATTTCTTACATTAGTCATGCATACTAACATTACATGCCTGCCACTTAGCAGGCTCTCTTTTATTCTTTAAATATAATTTAAAAGAGCAGACACATTTCTGCATCAAACACCTAACATCAATTTTTTATTAATATTAAAAATGGCTAAACATTCACCAAAAACGTCTGCATTTGTGTATAATTTTTAAAAACTTAGTAAGAAGCGGTAGACAATTTTGATGTTTCTTTAAATTTCTACACTATATTTATGCATTTAAATTTCATGGGTCTAAAGACAGTGTCATTTGTCACTTTCATGCTTTTCTTCTTTAATTCTCAACTTTACATATACTATTTCTTAAATTATACGTACACCAAATACCTGGTGCTGGGCTAAGATGTTTAAGCAACATGCTTTCTTTTCTCTGCAGATTCTAAAATAGCATTGCCAGTGCACAACATCCATAATTCAAAATGTATGCAGAGCACTGAAATGTATAAAAAGCAGAATATAAGAAAATAAAATTTATTAAAATTATTTATATTAAAAAATGAAGTATATGAAGATCTCTCAGTAATAAAAGTACAAAAAGCTACTCTTTGCAATATGAAAAATTGAGGTATTGCATAAAGAGATATCCCGTCAGTGAAAAGTGTGCCTAAAAATGCTCACTGTTGGAAAAACAAGATATACAAAAGTAGTGCATAACAAATATACATTATGTGCATGACAAAATAAGTTAGCTACAAAAACACTGTACCGAAATTCAGCAGGTCATGTACAAAGGGAAAATTATTATTCAAAGCTAGTTCTCAAACAGTGTTATTTCTTGTAATGGTAACCCATCTCACCTGTTTACTGGGTAGGATCGGCACAATAGCACACCCCAAGCCACCTACAAGCGTTAAAAAAATTAAAGGAACATTCCAACTAGAATTATGTACTTCAGAGAAAAAAAAGTCCCTGACAATCTACACAAGAGCACTCTGCATTTGCATTACTGTTGTCAATATTTTCAGGGATTTCATTAAAAGCAGCTCCCTTTCTATACTTGACTAGTAGACAGCAAATGTCTCCATTTTGACCTTTGGAACTTGGTAAGGTATAGTTCATTAAAGCCTGTATTGAAAATAAAAACTGCTTCTCATAAAGATAAGCTGGGCCGGGGGAAGGGGACGAGAGGGGCCGACAAAGGCTTTTAACGGAGCAGGGGTTTCCCAAGCAGTGCCGAGGCAAGTCTTTGGTTTGAGAGAATCTAGGATGGTACCGTGCCGCTCGGGCAGTTCAGAAGATTGCCACTAAATCTGTTTGTTTGCAACACTGCTAAATAATCGTTTGAGAAGCTGGCCGGGGCATTAGTTCAAAAGTAATAGAAATAATTTTCAGAACTACTCCTTCATTCACTATTTCAAGCTAAACCCCTGCACCCACTCTTTATCATTCAGTTAACATGTACTGTGTTAATGCTTCTCAAGGTAGAACTTATTTATAATAAAGCAGGCATTAACTTAGCAATGTTGGCACTTCAAATACCTGTGTTTCTTTATTTCCCCATGTTAAGTTCTGAAGAGGTGGAATCTTAGTTGGGAATCTTTCTACAGGAAGAGTAAGAAAGGCATATGCACGCTTGCCCCATTTCATGCACAAATTCAGAAAACAGTGCAAAACGAGTCTTGGAAACGACGTAGGTTCATGCCTTCTGTTACAACTAAGTTAGAGGGTATTTAAAACTAACTTTACGTCCAAGATGGGAAACGAATAAGCAGCCAATTTTAGTTTGTGTGACGCAATGGAATATCAAAACTCGAGTAAAAATCAGTGATATCCTTGAGGTATCTTTAGGTTTTCTACTTTTTCACGTCAAAATGGAGAGCAAAGGCTGGCCCCTGATGAATGTTAGTATATTAGGATATAGAGTTATATATAGCCATCAAAAATAAAATCTATATATTTATCCTTCAGGAGAGGAAATGCCAGTTAACTAGTTGTCATTACTCTAGCTTTGGTAGGATTTCTAGGGCTGTAACGAGACAACTGAGTTCTCTTCAAGAAAATAAAAAGTGCACTCCCCCCTCAGTAGTAACTTTACTCAACTTTTACATTCAGGAATTCTTAAAATGTAATCATTTTGATGAAAATATAGTAAGCTCTGCCTATCTCATTAGTAATTTGGATGTGGGTGGTAGTCAGAGGCACGGTCCGAGCACATACCGAGCTAAAATTTCAGCCTCAAAAACCTTAACAGATTTTTAAATAAAGATCATTATTATAATGCTGCTTCAACTTTGCTCATGCATTTTTGTTGCTTTAAACATGCTCTTTCCTGTTGGTAGGTAAATGCTAACTTCATCTGGTGCTGGAAAAATCCGAAGTCGAAACAAAAAGAGAGGCAAAAACAGGCTTCCCTGGGGGAAAAGTGTCAGAACAGACTGATAGTGTTATTGTTACGCGGTTATTTTAATAAAAGTATTCTTACGTTCTTTATTAACAATAATTTAATTAAAAAAACAAAATACTCTATTGTTTCAATTCTCTTTTCTTAATATTTTTCTCTCCTCTAAGAAAATGTTGCATGAAATTAAGTGTTCTCTCGGTAGTAAAGACAAGAGAATGCAACTCACTTGCAACATGTTATCGATACGAAAAGGAGTTCCCAATACAGTTTTCAATGACAAGATTCTACAAAATACCCATATTATAGGTCATTCTTTCATTATACTATTGTTAAATTACAGACTACTACAAAAGGACATGCTATGTTGTATAAGAGAAAGGGTAGGGTGGGGTAGGGACAATCAGGATGACAGAAGAGTGCACTTAATTTGAGGCCTGCATATGAGCACTGCAGTGATCATTTAGTTCCAGCGGAATGAAATATGTCTTGGGCGATCTCCTCCCTCCTTCACCAGGGGCTTGTGGAATTCCCTGCCAGCGCGTGAATGGATAGCAGCCCAGCAATATTCACAGTAATACTGCAGACAGGTAACATTAGCACAGAAAAATGGAGCAAATTTTCCACCGCAACGGGCCCCCTGACATTCATCACAAAGCTGATCATCCAAGACATATGGCTTAACTTCCACCTGTATTCAGAAAATGAGAAGAAAGTTTACAATTCTTAATAACAATGTAGATAACGACAATTCCACACTATTTACTGTATGTATTCTAGCAGCACTGCGATCACAGTTCTGTACTAGGGAACATCACACAAGAATTTTCCCCCTCATTACCCATGATCATCGTCATTAAACGCCCAAAGCTACAGGCACTTGAGAACAATCCTGCTCGTGCTGTTCTCCTTGGTCATGAAAAAAACCCCAGAAACCAATGCTGACCAGCAGTATCACATGTGCTGTCGCCGCTTTACAGACAGGACCAATCAACCTACTGTCACAGAACTGATACACAGATTCACATCAAAACCCTGCAGAATTCGGGGGGGGTATTTTTAAGCACGGTGATGCACAGTTAAGCTCCTACCCTTTCAGGGAGGAATGTAAACTGTTTACACAACACTGTAACTGCAGATTAAATATGCACGTGGTCTGCAAATTTCAATGTCTGCATTTCCAACTTTAAAAAATTTCATTTATTATCTTAATAAACAGCACATTTCTGTTTTCTTTTTCTGTGGCTTAGTCCTCTCAGCAAAAGGAAACCTACCTAATCTCATTGGGATCAAATGAGAAGCTTAAAATGGGTCTGACAGCCACCTACGCTGTTGGCATTAAGGGCCAGATGATGAGCAGTAATTCAGCACAGCAGACAAGAAAGGAGAAGAAAAATTTCTTCAAGTTCTTAACTGATAATGACTCACAGGAACTTACCAGCTGGTGCTCCAAGGATACATCTCCACTGCAACATCTGCAGGCTACGAGCTTAT